AAGGTTCCGGACTGGGCGGACACGGTCAAACTGGCCAAGCACAAGGAGTTGGCGCCCTACGACGAGAACTGGTTCTACACCCGCGCGGGTGAGACCCCCCGACACACACGGGGGGGGTTCGGGGCTATCCCGCTATTCCCGCTATTCCCGGTATTCCCATAGCCCATCACTTGTACCCGTGGGACGATTCCATTACCCGGGGGGGTTTGGGGGGGATATCCCGGTATTCCCGGTGTTAATTCCCACCATTCCCAGTGTTAATTCCCACCATTCCCAGTATTCCTACTCCATCCACATCCCCTGTATTTGGGGTGGTACCGGGTTGGCTCCATGGCCAAGGTGTTGGGGGGGTCTCAGGGCTCGTTCCCACAGGTGGCTCCCATTCCCCGGAGGTGTTTCCCGGTGTTAATTCCCACCATTCCCGATATTCCCGCAGCCTCCACGGCCCGGCACCTGTACCTGCGAGGCGGGGCGGGGGTTGGCTCCATGGCCAAGGTTTACGGGGGGCGGCAGCGCCGCGGGGTCCGGCCCAGCCACTTCAGCCGCGGCTCCGGGGCCGTGGCCCGACGGGTCCTGCAGGCGCTCGAGGCCCTCAAGGTGGTGGAGAAGGACCAGGACGGGTCAGTTTGGGGGAAAAACACCTGGATTTGGGATCCTCACCCTCTTCCTCCCCCCCACACCACTTTGATCCAGTTTCCCCCCAGTTTCACCCCATTTTCTGCTTTCCCGACCCCATTTTGCCCCGTTTTGATTCTCCCTTTGCATTGTCTTTATTATTCATTCTTCGCCCTTAAATTCCCTTTTTAAATTCCCATTTTCCCTTTAAATTCCCATTTTCCCTTTAAATCCCTATTTTCCCTTTAAATCCTCATTTTCCATTTAAATCCCTGTTTTCAATTTGAAATTCCCCTTTTTCCCTTTAAATTTCCCTATTTTCTCCTTTAAATTCCCATTTTCCCAAGGTTATTCTCTTATTTTTCTGTTTCCCCCATTTTTATTTTTCTGCCCCCGTTTCCCTATTTCTATCCCGTTTTCCCCCATTATTTCCCTCTTTTTTCCCCCGTTTCTATCCCATTTTCCCCCTTAATTCCCGGTTTTCCCCACCCCAGGGGTCGGAAGTTGACTCCGCAGGGGCAGCGGGACCTGGATCGCATCGCGGGGCAGGTGAGTTTTTGGGGCCAATTCCCAGGATTTGGGGCCAATTCCAGCATTTGGGGCCATTTTGGGGCCATTCCTGGGACTGGGGCCATTCCCTGGATGGGGGTCTTGGGGGCCAATCCTGGCTTTTTTTCCCATTTTCCCTGTTTTTCTCCCCGTTCCCAGGTCGCCGCCGCCAGCAAGAAGCACTGAGGGAACCAATAAACTCTGAACCCCCCTGAGCTGGAGTTGTGTTTGTGGGGAAAACACCCAAAACGGGGGGAAACGGCCCCAAAACTGGAGGGAAAAACCTTCAATTCCCAGCAGGGATCCCACAAAGGGGAGAGGTGGAAAAGGGGAGGGAAACGGCCCAAAATTGGTGGGAAACCACCTCAAAATGGGGGGGAAATGCCCCTAAATAAGGGAGAAATGCCCCAGAGTATCAAAGGAATCCCAGAATTGGGGGAAACTGCCCCGAAATAGTGGGAAATGGCCCCTAATTGGGGGAAACCACCTAAATTAAAACTAGGGGTTGCTTCAAGAAATGAGGTTTTGCCACAAAAAACGAGTCCTTTTTTTTCCTCAGAAAATGAGGTTTTAACCCCACAAAATCAGGGCGTTTTGCCCCAAAAGCTGAGGGATTTTTCTCAGTAAGTGGAGGTTTTACCTCAGAAAATGAGGCTTTTTCCTCAAAAAATTGGGTTTTAATCCCGCAAAACAAGGCGTTTACCCCCAAAACTGAGGGGTTTGCCTCAGTAAATGAAGGTTCACCTGAGAAAAATGAGGTTTTACCCCTGAAAATGAGGTTTTAATCCCACAAACCGAGGGGTTTGCCCCCAAAAAGAGGGATTTGCCTCAGAAAAACAAGGGGTTTACCTCAGAAAAATGAGTGTTTTCCTTAAAAAATGAGGTTTTACCCAAAAAAACCTGCTTTTTCTTTGCCCCGGTAAACAAGGGCTTAACCCGCCAAAACAAGGGTTTGCCTCAGAAGATGGGGGGACTGCTCATCAAAAATGATGTTTTAACACCGCAAAATGAGGCGCTTACCCCCAAAACTGAGGGGTTTGCCTCTGCAAATAAGCGTTTGCCTCCAAAAACGAGGGTGTAACCCTCCAAAAATGAGGGCTTTGCCTCAGAAAACTGGGGTTCGCCTCAGAAAAACGAGGTTTTAACCCCCAAAAAGAGGGGTTTGCCTCAGCGAACGACGGTTCGCCTCATGAAAGCCATTTTTTCCCTCAGAAAACGCGCGTTCCCCCCGGAAGGCGCCGGTTTTTACCTCAGAACACGAGGTTTTATCCCTCAGAAAAGGCTCCTTTTTTCCCCTCCCGCCGCCGCCGCTCCCTGAGGGGGCCGGGAGTGGGCGGGGCAAAGGCCGCCGCGGCGCTCGCTGATTGGTCGGATCGCCGTGCGGGGGGGCGTGGCCTGGGAAAGGGCGGGAAAGGCGCCT